GACAAATAAGAGGGCCGAAGATTCAGCGATTGCTGAACGGCTGCGAACGAGATGCCTCGTGCCCAGAAGCCAATGCAAAAGTAAGACACAGTAGAACATCTCAACTTTGTGGCATTGCTTTCCATGGGAAAAAGCGACATGTGTCGACCGAGCGCTTTCACTCCCCTCGTCTATACAGGAAAAATATCAAAAAACGGAAGATGCAAATGACCGAGAGATCAATGCAAAGATGATGACAACTCCTGTAGTTCTCCGTTTTCGGACTCCGGAAGGAGCACAGTCGGAATCCTTGAAAGAGCGCATATGGTCCAAGTATAGCTTTTTTGCGCAACACGATTCCGACTTCCTTTGGAACTCGTGCTACAAAGATGCTACACAGGGAAACCGTTGAAGGCCGCCGAAGCATGTCTCTCCGTTCTTGGCCCTTTGTTGAAAGGCAAAACTCCGGCATTTCTCAAGCCAAAGTGAATCCTCGAGCTTGCTGCATGCACATCATCCCAGTTGAGGTAAAGCAAAGAATTCTGCAAGCGGCCTTGCTTGAAGTTAGCAAGGTTTAGTGGGCAAACTCCCCAAGCATGCAGTCTTCCTCACATTTGGGTTGGTTTCGGGTGGGCTTAGGGTGGGCTCAGAGGAAAAACATGATGTCATGTTTGTTGATGGGAAACCGCTTGACATTGCGAGCCACAGGCCCTCATGCAACAACTTTGTGAGCAGCAGCCCATGGATAGCAGGCTGTGTGAGCCATCTTGCGCAAGTTGCAGTCTCAAATTGGACTCGGTCTGCCTAAAGGCGTAAAAAAAAAAAAACGCCGGTGGCCAGTGGCCACAACTGGATTCCCCTCTCGTATTCTCAAAAAATATACAGAGGGGCCGTTCTTTTTAGACAACAAAAAAAGGCGAACAGCGAAGCTCAGCTGCCTTCGGGGCCATAGAGCTTGGACTTGGAGTTCAGGAAGCCCTTCTTCAGCGCCGGGCCCTTTCCTCCGATTCGGCAGCGATGGCTTCGGCCGAAAAACGGCCGACTCGAGTGGCCGAGTTTGGGCTTCACGATTCAAGAGAATTCCAGGAGCTGATTAGGAACAGCCCCAGCCAGGTGTTTCAGCCATTGTTCGCCAACTCTGGCCACTCCAGGCAGCCAGAACAGCCCCAGCCCAAGAAACGGGCCTCGAGCTAGGTTGAGATTCCAGCCTACGTTTCGGTTAGCTACATGATACAGGAAGGCTGAGTTGCAAGCACATCCTTCGCTTCAGTTTCCGCTGCGGTTTCATCAGGGGTGTTTAGAGGCCCAACGTTCCAACTGCGGCAGAGCTGCGCACATCTGGCGTGAGGTCCTCAATGAGCACCTCTTTGGGCTCCTAAATGGTCAGGAGCAGTCCTTTCCCCTGCCACCTTCTGTCCCCATATCCAAAGACCACGAACACGCAACGCTGTCATTAAAAAACAAAAAAAACTCCGGCAGTGCTTGCCACGCGCTCCTCTTTGGGCTCCTTGGGCAGCTCGTCATCGAAGGAGTCGTGGTGATCCGGAAGCTCTCCTCAAGCCGTCGGCCAGAAAAAGCCACCGACAGGCTAAAAGAAACTGATCCCCAAGCACACGCTGTTTGCTTTTCAGCCGGGGGGGGGGGGGGTATCCTTTTTTTTCTCAGAAAAAGCAAACAGACCCCCAAACCCCCGAAGATTTCCAGCACTGAGATCCGTGTGTCAAGGGCTTCTAGCGCGCACAAATCTTCAAGGCAGGATTTGTGCGCCTTGGCCGTTCTGACAAAATTCAAGGTGTCAACCTTCAGCTTTCTTTTGGCTTCGCACCGACCGGACATGGCGTGGAAGCCAAGTTGCGGAACTCCCGCGGCACGGTGCGGTCCCCCTCCTCGCCATCCTGGGAACCGCGTAGTCTGACTGCTTAACGTGCGGTCATTTCAAGGCAAAAAACATGTCGCCAGAACATGCGGCATGCCGCCTTTGGGTTTGCTTCCCTGCGACCCCGCGACCAAAAACCCCATGTCCATTCTGCGGCCTGGACGACTGACCAATCACAAATGGGGCCAGAATGTGACATTGTTTCAAGTGCGGAGTTGGAAAATGCCGTTCCTGAGAATCTATGCGATCAGACAAGCTCCCAATATGGACGTCTCAGTCCATCCACTGTGAGTAAGCACCACCAAGGACAAGTGGGGCAATCGCATCCCAGCAGTTGAAGCGACTGGCCGCAGTATCAGAATCTGGAAACCATGAATGTAGGTTTCGAGTTGCAGCTATTTATATCTACATAAACGATACCAGCGCCCTTCGCAAGGCAATGGTCAATGCCAAGCCCTTGTGCCCCGAGCCCTGCTAGGGCCCAAGGCGAGCTTCCAAATCGTGCTTGGAGCTCAAGGCAGAAACCATCTGGCTGTGGGTCAAAAATAGGTACAAAAAATGGAACATACGGAACCTTGGTAAATGGAACCAAAAGCTAAAACCTGCAGTCCCCTAGTGGTTTAGTTTTGACCCACACCCATCTGTAAGCCGCCCAGTTGGCTGCAAGATCCGCGTGGGTTGCCAACCCTGGAGGCCTCTGGGAGGGCAAGGCGGAAGGCTCGCAGCTCAACCCGCGGGCTCTGCAAAGCACCCGGCCGACTGGGAACCTCTGTCCGGCCCACCTCAAAAAGCAGCCAGCGTGAAGCAAAACGCACGAAGCCATACAGCACCCTCGGAAAAAACGGAACCAAGTGCGCGACGCAGAGCCAAACACAAAGGTCTCGAGCTCAAGTCATTTGCTGAGTTTCAAGCTTGGAAAGCATGGCTGCCATCAGTGAGAAGATTAGCATTTTTTTGGTGTGCGATCACGTGTGACCAGCTCGGCTGGCCTCATAAAGTCAATTCATCATGCAGCCATGGTGGATTCTTCCAGCTTGGTATTCAACTGCTCAAGGCGGTTCAACCCGACTCGCACAAGGAGAGGCTGCCAAAGTGGCCATTTGCAGGAGCATCTCTGCCAGGCAACTACAACTCGGACATCCTTGAAAGATAGCTGGCTTGGTAGGCTCAACACCGCACCAAGTTCCAAGTTTGTGCTCAGAAAGCATCCAATGACTCGCCAACTGTCTTTCTGTTGTTCCCTTTCTGTTATTCACAAGCCATGACAACCGCGCCAGGCAAAGCAGACAGCTTTGCATCCTGTCATGTATGCCTCCACTTGCTCGCAAGTGATTTTCTTGGGACGGCACTGCACTGAATGTGTCCTAGTTTTTGAGGAAGACCAACCAGCTTAAACTGCAGATTGCCATAGATTGGCGCATAGGCAGAGTTATCGACAGCTTCACTACGACTCCGACGTCAAACCGTGTGTTCTATTTGTCAAATAATTTGTAGTTCAGCCACACACACACACATGCGCATCAAACTCCCTACACTAGGTGATGGTCATGGCTGGAGTTTCTGGTGGTGCCTGCCTATGTTGTAAGGGCTTATGACTGCCTTGAGCAAAACTCCGTGTGAGCTGGATGTTTGACCATGCCCTGAGGCGACTAGATCTGCCAGACTGCTAACAGGCATACGGCACACGTCAAGCGCCCAGTGAGCTCTCGAAGCATGCGTTGACAAGTGAAAACTTGACATGAAATTGGGTTGGAGTGGCACAACAGTACAGAGCAGCCTATGGTCACCTGTCGGTCAGGTGTTTGTCGAGAGCTGTGTGTTTTAAGCTGGCACATATTTGAAAACCTTTCTTTGTTTGAGCAAGGAGCTAGCACATGCAAACAATCATGGAGGACGGCTTTGCAATTGCACTACGGCCAAGTGGTGATGACTCCAAATCGAGCAAGACATCCGTACACTGTCATAGGTGAGGATGAGGTGGCTGACTCGTCAAGTTTCTGTCGCATGTTGAAGTCAAGAGCCAGACCCGCAAGCTACAAGGCACCCGCCTTGTATCTGAAGTCCTTCATCAGCTTGATGCTTGATGGTTCCAGCTTCACATTTAAGCTTTCCTGCCCAACTTTGCCCACGGACCCCCAAGGTGGCTATTGGACCCCCAAGGGGGATATGGGGACGGGGAGCTATTTCTTAACCCCTTGATAAGGTTATCTTTGCCCCCATGATTGCTGGACCAAACTTCCCCTAGAATTCTAGCACATTTGTGAATGCCACACCACAGTGACGTCCTGGACGTTCAGTAAAGCCCGTTCTACATCATGTTTGCGAATGCCACGCCACACTGACACAAAAAGCTTGTCAAAGTTGTGTCAATTAACAACCACGACTCATGGGTGCTGCTAATCTACAAGCCCCATGCTATCTGGTCCGAGCAACATCATCGATCTTGTCTCGCCAAAATGAAAAAAACATGTCGCTCCAAGTAGGTGTCCCAAATACACAGAGCCCACACACGCACACGGAGATACACACACACCACAAAGACTCAATTGCGCAAAGTGTCAAAGCAAGAAGCAATGTTGTTTTTGCATTGGACTACTGCCGGCTCTGTTCAATTCACACATTTGCCCCCGCCCTTCCCACACTCCTTCCGCCCTGCCAAACAAACAGCCACCCCCCGAAAATCTGGGCCGATATCCTCGATGCGCTTCAGCGTGAGGCCAATGACCCAAGGGCGGAAGGACTCCATGGCATTGCAGAAGGCGTCGTCTACAAAGAGCTGCACCATGAGCGGGTTGAAGACCACGTCCTCTGTCACGATCTTTAAACAGATCCGTGGACGAACATGAGGGGGCAAGGTTTTCCTCTAAAGATACCTGGGAAAACCCAAGAAATAGGTGTGCAAAGAGATGAGAAAGTCGGCTTGCGGGACACCACCGGGCCACCTGGCAGGAGACGTCACCTTCTGGAATCGGACAGTTGCGCCGCTCCGAGATCCAAACCGCGAGACACGGCTCCGACCATGCCAAGGCTCGATGCACCAGGTGGTGTGCTTCGCGCCTTCCGCGCGTTCGCCCTTCACCTTGCCTTAAGTCGCATGCCCGAATCGGCGACCCGCGTTTGCAGATACCATAATTCCAAAGCCTGGAGTCAGGGATCCCCTAAATGAAGGACCTACGACAAAACAAGGCTCGGAATTGTTCGCAGGTGAGATCGCCAGACAACATAGGCAGCCGCATCAGTACCCAAAAATGATCCTTCGAAACAGCTCGGAGATCGCCAAAGTCGATGAGCCCAATGGACAAACAAAGTACATTGGTCTGAACGTTGAACGTGAAGCGATTTGGGTAGGTGTCAGACTGTGCTTCCAGCTCCCCCACATCGAGCGCCTTCAACGAACCAGCGTCACCCAAATCTTTTGACGACGGAATGCCATTCCTGGTTAGATAGTGATGGTGTTCCAAGTTGTTAAGGCGCTTCAAACAACTGGGACACGAAACCCCTCTGCCATGTTTGGTATCTGACTCGCCTGAAGTGCTTCGATGAGCAGCAATTAAAGCCAGTGACCCGCGTGCGCCGACTACATCGTCTGAATGGTTGAAATGGAACTGAGGATCAATCCAGCGTGCGATCAATGAGCATCTCTCGTTTGATCACCGAAACTCCCAATCTTCAGCCCTACGCAAGACATTGGCAAACGCAGGCCCGATCGAGCCTAGCACCTGTTTTCTGACACGGCAACAAGTTGGAGAGCCGGTCGAGAATAGGGCGGCGGTAATTATGGAGAACAACTCCGGCGCAGCAAAGCCACCTCTGCACGGATCTCAAGCGCAAATGGCGCTTGACGAATTGGATCCAGCGCCGTAGCGCAGAAGATCTTGCAAGAAGGCGGCGAACCAAGTCCAATTCCTTCACGAAGTACCCCCAATCCCAAAATCAGGGTGGGAAAAGTGGGGGAACTTCAGAACTAAAGCTTGAAGCAGAAATCCTGCCGGATTGAGCCAAGTTCAAACCAGAGCGTCGCAGTCAGAACTTCCCCGCTGGCCAACATGTCCCAAACCACGCGATCGCAGGAGATGCGGCTGGCCGCAGGCCAGGTGCCTGGAAGACGGCGGCGGCACTCCATGCACTCCGCTGCGTTGCCCGCCGCGTCCCCTGACGCCCGATCAGCCACCCGGCGAAGACCACGCCTTGAGCACGAGCGTGGGCACGAGCGTCGGCCTCCGACCTCAGAACGAACACGGTGACCTTCCAGCTGATAAAGAGCGAGACCACGATCGACGGCCAGAAATCGCCCTCGATCTCATCGCCAAACTGCAACTGGACCGAAATGTCCGTGTCTGATCGATAGCTCCTGAAGACCCAGTGGAACAGGACCTCGTTCCCGTTGTGGATCTTGACGCCCACATAGGTTGTGGACGCGGTGAGAATGGGGACAGGTGACCCCGATTAGGGGGGGGGGGGGTAACCTGGCTTGCTTCGAGCGAGCGTTGGTCGTGATCTCCCAGACCAACTGACCATACCATCGCCCCTGTTGTCCACCAATGTCGACCACAATGGTGGAGATATCTGACTCCTCAGCGGAAATCAGAGACACGGATCTCCCACAGATCATGGGTGTCCGCCATTTGTGGACATCCTTGATTTTCGCCACGGCGACCGCCGTCGATCTCCGGCCATGCCAGGATCCGAGCCAGGCACAGAGCTTCAGAACTAAGGGCAGGGATCCGGCCAATCGCCAAAATGGCACCGGATCACAGCTATGCTCGATGAAAGCCCCTCATGATCCAAAGTCTGAGCATGCAACTTGATCAGTGTAAAGTACTTCATGGAAAAAGGGATCACATCAAAGGCGGGGCCCCCAAAGAGAGCATCAAAAGGGGGACCCAAGGAAAGCCGAAGGGGACTAGGGAGCTAAAGAAAGAAAGAGAACAGACTGACCAAACCAGCCGACAACATGTGATCTGTTTGTGAATCTTGAATTACCATGGCGAACAAAGCGTGATTGCCCAAACGGAATCCTCACAACATGGTGCAACCTCCCCCCCCCCAAACACCAGAAAAAAACACGGGGGCTGCGAGATATCCGGGGGTCAACATGAAAAGAAACGCCAATCAGTGGCTCTTGAGTCGACGGGTCCTCGTGCCAAGGCGCGGAAGCTTCCCATGTCGAAGGGCACCTGCAGGCTGGCGATGCCGTGCGTCAGGATCCAGTCCCGGGTGACCTGACACGGGCGGCTGACGTAGCGCGCATCCCAAAAGTCCATGTCAAGGCAAAAACGAGAGACACGTCAGGCCAGGTTGAGGATAACGTTTGTTGGTATGTCCAGGGAATCACCAGCAACCAGGGTTTCTCAGGTGCAGAATTTCGTCCACAGTATCACCTCGCATCGAAGGATCTACAGGGGCTCCTGTACTTGGTTGCCGTTGACCCCTCTTCAAAAGCTGCTTCACTTGTTCTGGGTCCGACGGAACCTCCACAATTGGAACCAAGAAGGTTAAAGTCCAAAGACCCGTTATCACCCAAATCGCCGCAAGTGCACGCATGTGCATTCCTGTCTCCACTTGAAGAGATCACCCCATCGGTTCTCGCCTTCTGGCCGGAGTGGGCTACAGGCATCTCCACCAGCTTGTGGCTGGTCATGTTGAGGAACCTGAGCCACTTCAAGAAAAGCGCTTCATGGCTGCAGCTCAAGAAAAGCGCACCTGGGCACTCACAAACACTGGGGGAGGGGGGGGTAAGTAGGGCCCCTGTGGGGAAAATAAGCCAACCTGGCCAGAACCTTCCTTAAGCCGTTTTCCTGTTGTGTATCCTCAACTCTAAAGGCTAGAGCTGCACAACATTTTTGCCCTTGGCCTTCCGCTCAGTTCCTTGAACATGGCCCTGAAGCCGTGCGCTTCAGATGGGAATTGGGCACCATGCCACGCAAATGCTTCGGTAACAGCTGGGAACCATAGCGACAAATGCGCATGATAAAGGCAGGTTCAAGAAATTGGCGACTACATCGCAAAACAATGCAGAAATGCATGCTAACAAAAAGGCAAACAAAGCCAACACATCAAGGGTTGCGTGAAAGCGCCCCACCAGCCGCAGCTAACTGAGTTGAGGCCGGAACCATCTGCCCTGCGCGCCAGAGCTCTTTGCCTGGCAAAAGTAGCTGTGAGCTTCTCTCTTGCCGGATGCAAGCCATTTTCGCATCACTGCCGAACGCCGGATGCTTCACATTTTTGGGCAAGGTTCATAGTGTTGGGTGGATTAGTTGCGAGTGCTGGACGCGTTTTCAGCGGCAAAGATTCCTGTTTAGCTTCAATATGTATCTTCTGCAGGATTGCTTACGCGTGCTTTGCTTTGCTTGGCCCCTTCGCACTCTTTTGCGTCAACTTGTCTTTCTGAATGCTGACACTCCTGGTGGAAGGGCAGTGAGAGAGGTTGATTAGCACACTTGTAGTCAAGGGAAAAACAAAAGGCAGCCATGCTGATGTGCGGTTTCCTTTGCAGTTGACACGCACTGCACGTCCTCTTTTCCAGAACCAGAGAGGCAATCAATGCGCCCTCAACAACAATGGGCGCGTAAGAAGCTTGGTACCCAAGCAGGCTCACACCTGAGACGCGAGTCCGCACTGACATCGCACAAAAGACTAGCAAGAAGCAACGGCTCTTTCAACAGCCACGAAGTGCACAGAGACCAACTCATTAGGGCCGCCCAAGAAAATCAGAACCACCGGACCTGCAGGCAGAAGCCCACGCTCGGCCGCAGCGGCGCCGGCGCCATGAGAGCGAGCGAGCAAGCGAGCGAGCGAGCTTTTTCCCGTGGAGATCTGTTTCGGGTTCACGGCATGTGCCTTGAAGCTGTGTCAGGCTTGAAATTGATTATGCCGAAAACAGTGAGCAAGCAATCATGTCGTTGGAGAGAGACAAATGATTAGTTCAGGGCCTTCGGCTCACTTCTCTGGACCGGGCACACCGGTTCGTCAAGGAAAGCCTCCTAGCTACTGAGCATCGCGAGGCCAGCAGAAGAAGGGTCGTGAAACGTTTCTTTTTACACGGGGTCAAGGGCCATGTTTCCCTGAAGGGATCCTTAAAACTTGCACGCTTTCTGGTCACTCACGGCAACAGAGCCTCTGAAGTGGCCCTGACATCTACCAAACATAGTGACTTTCACCGTGCATGTTTGCTTTCACAGCCACTCTCACGGAAACCGATCTGCAAAAGTTCCGAGAAAATCAAGGAACGGGAATCAGCACAGGGTGGCGCCTACAGGCCTGGGAGCGTAGCCTGGCGCGGTTTGGAGATGTGCAAAGGGCATCACTTCAAAGAAGAAAACACCCCAGAAGCAGGGCTTGCCACTTTGGGTTCGAAGCAAAGGAGCGCAGCCCTGCTCCCAACCCAATTTAGGAGCGTGCAAAGGTTCCTCAGAGACAGAATCTGGCAAACCACCCCGGCGGAATCGCGATGTTCGGTGCGTGTGCTGGACCAAAAACTCTGCAAAGAACGGTTTTGGTTGGTTTTTGTAATCCTTCCAGGGAGCCTTGGGCAAGACCCAGACTACCAGCCACCCAGCGCAAGCACTTCGCCGATCACCATCCAGGAAGCTACACTGGCAACGGGACAAAAAGCGCCTGGCGGCGGCATGCCTCCGGCGCTGCCATGCCTCCGCGAATAATTTATCGGCTGATCACCCCGACCCCTGGCGGCGGCATACCGGCCAAAATACAAAAACGCCTTCCGGCCGAGATCTCAATCTTCCCTGGTTTCCAAATCGAACAGGAGAGCTCAATCTTCGCGGAAACCAAACATCGACGAGGAGAACCATCTGGGGCAAGGCAGAAACACACACCCGACTCAAAACGCTCTGAACTGAGTGCCCTGCCAGCCAGCGGGTGGCCCCGACGGCCTGTGGGGAGTGGGCAGAAACACTTGGCATTCAGGCTCAACCGGGAAAAAGGCGGGATCGCCCATGGCCATGGGTCAAAATCCCGTACCCCCAGTCTACCCCAATATGGTACAATTGGTTTTTGGTTTACACAGCCCATATTTACGCGCTTGCACATGGCAATCTGATACTCACCCTTCTTACACCGAATTCCCTGCCGGGCTCAACTACGTTCCCTTGGCAAAAGGCAGCAAGCAGCCCCCCACGGGCTGCTGATTGTCTGGTGGGAGACAAGCCAAGATCAAAAGCTCGCCTTTAAGGAAAGCTGAGCTGTGGCTTCCCTCGGAAAACGACACCTCCATCCCCTGAAACCGGCTAAGGCGCCAATGCTCCTCGAAGGGAGGCCGCCGCCTCAGGCGCTCTGCAGGGACAAACCACCTGTTGAAGCCGCAGCTCTCCAACAAGAGCTATGTAAAATACCAGAACTACTGGTCGCTGCAAGCAGCTGTACATCGACGGTTTATGAGCATAGGTGCCCAAAGGTTCATGCACGCACATTCCTCCATTGAGCTATCTACCGTGGGGCAAAAAAGACCAACGTTCAGGGCCACTTGGTCCCTAGCCGTTTTTGGAGCCCCGGGCCGAGCTACAGCCGAGCCCTGAGGCCTTCTGGAGGAATGGCCGGCTGAGGCCCAAGCGGCGCAACTGGGGCAAAAGAAACCGCAGCGGGGGGTTGTTGCTTGGCGTTGGCACTTTCAGCACGCCTCCAAATTCAGGATCCAACAGAAACTTGTTTGCCAATGAGGCATTGTGAGACATCAAGAGAGAAACGGGATCAAGGAGTCAGAGTCCTGTCAAAAGCTGGCTTCAGGTCCCTTCAAATCCAATTGGCTGCAAGCACAAGTGATCGCTCCTGCGGCACCACTTTCCACATAAGCACAAAACCAGAAGCATTGCAACCGAAGCAGCAACGACAGCAGCATCGCCCCTCTCGCTAAGCTCAACGAATGCCCTGGGCAGCCCGGCTCCGGCGGCCTTGGGGGACCAACTCGCCAGCCAACCAAGCTGCGCAAAACAAGGGGACTTGTCCACATTTGGCCAAGCAGGTTGCCGAAGTTGCTGATTTCGGCCTGGCAATACCAAATCATAATATTACCCGGAAGTGGTATGGTAAGTCATAGGAACCTGTGACAAAAGCGCGACATTCAAACATACGTGCGCATCCCAACGTTCTACTTGCGATTGTACAACCGTTGGGGTTGCACATGCCTCTAGCCACCCAGAGTCTTCATACACGTGCTGACCATCCAAGCGTTTTCTCTGGTTGGCACCCGCATCCAACAGAACGTTGCTCCCCGCATAGATTCACCGGCTAAAAGGTAGGTCTCGGCTCAGTCCGGGACAAAACAGGGCTGTGGGAAAGAACCACTTCTTCAACAAAAAGGGCCTCCCAAAGACCAAGCGTCCATATTTGCAGAGAACATGGGAGAAACCCCTTGTGATCCCACAGCCGATCGGCTAACGGAAGCCACCACTTGGAACCATACTTCGAAAGCCACCGAAGCGGGGCCCCGGAACCTGGCCTCGGCTCCTGCGATCCGAGGTTGCATCTCTTGGGGTTCATCTCAAACCCGTGATACATGGGGTGACCCAAAAGGGAAACCACCCGAAAAAACGATGCCTTTCACATGGGGCCATTGTTGTGGTGCCAGAAAAACCAATGCCTTTCACCAGGGGTGCCAATGCTATGGTGAAAACTGGCCGCTCTTGGGATTGCCACAGGCCCCCTTGCATGCCTGACCCAGCTGATTGGTCTTAGCATCTTGGACCCGGCAATCGGCGATTTGAGAGAAGAAATGGTGTTTCGAGCTTAGGTCGCCCAATAGCTTTTGAAGTAATTAAATACGACACCAGTCAAATGATATGGAGCGTAGGACGTTGGGGTAAACAAAGCTGGATTGCCAGTTGAGCCACCCAGCTGGCTCTCCAGTTGGCTTCTTCTCTCTGGATCCCAGCTTCCCCGAACAAAGCACAAACAAAACAAGCTGATGCCATATAAATCAACCCCATCTACTTGTCACAGAGGCTCTGTCACATCTGTCTGTCGGATCTTTCTGTTGCATCTGGCTGTCTGTCACGGGCTCTGTCACTTCTGTCTGCTGGATCTGTCTATCACATCTGTCTGTCACAGGCTCTGATCAAAATTTGAAATGTTCCAGCCCAGGTTTGACGCGTCCTTCCACGGACCACTCTGCTATGATTTCAACCAGATGGCAAGAGCCAAAAAGGCTTTTGCGACCAAACATGTAGCATTGCAAATATTTACTCTTATGCAGGGGCATCGGTCTTGGGTAGGCCCCCATCGGGTTTCAGGGTCTTTGATTGGCTTTGGCGATTATGAGCTAAGTGATGTCGCGCCGAATACAGCCGCAGTCATAATAATATTGTCGGGTACTCATATTATGGGGGTGGTCCCCCTCCAAAATGCAAAATTTGGGATGGGAGGCAGTTAGTGCCTGCTGGGGTGGGGAGCATGCCCTTCTCTAGATTGCGTAGATGCGAAATGGCGACCACTGTGGGAAAAGGAATTCAATTCCTTACTCCCAGATCAACCACTTGCATCCAATCAACGTGAATGCAAGGTGACCCTCGGCGCCTCTCTGCGCTCCGGTTGGCTCTCGCGGCGCCTAAGAAAGCTGAGGCCGTGTTCTGCAAAAGCGCTGCGCGTCATCCGAGTTGACATCGTAGAGTAACATAGTACCAATGATAACCCTTCTCATGGTCACACGCCAAGCACGCCATGGCGATAATTGCCAGTTGCCAATCATCCGCATGTCTGTGGCTCCAAAAAATAAAAGGGTCACCCCCCCCCCCCCCCCTCGAAAAATAAATAAATACATAAATACATAAAATGGCTTGCCCCCTTTTTTCTCTCTCCGGAAAGAAACATATGGACCGGAGCCCCCAAAACAAAAACGCCCAGCTCCGCTTCCCGACACGCGCTTCGACCCAGGGCCCCAGGGCCCGGGCCGCTTGTGGTGCCTGCCGCCCGAGCTGCGGCGCCTCCGGCGCCGGCCTCGAGTCCCAGGGCCGGCGGAAACGAGTCGTGGGGTGAAACCAGGAAGTTGGTTGACCGTTGAAAAATGAAATTTCAGAAGGTTTTTGTAGAAAAGTCATAAGGTTGGTTGATATCTGCAGAGAAAAGTCAGAAGGTTGGTTGATATGTTTGCAGAAAAGTCAGCAGGTTTGTTGGTTGGTTGATACTGTGGATGGTTGCGAAATCCATTTCGCACCACGATTGAAACCATTGGAAACTGTTGTTTGCTGGTATTTACAGGGGACTCATCATTCCAGGGTTTCGTAGGTGGTGCAAAATTTCGTCCATCCACAGTATTTGCAGGGGAATCGAATCAGCACCTTGCAAGGCAAATAAAGAATTCCAGGCAAGGAATGGGAACTAGGGAACTGTCCATCTTTCTGGCTTGCGTAACTTGCCATCCCCCTTCTTGACAAGCGCACAAATCTGTGAACTCTTCGCATTCTCAGTACTCCCTGTCAACTCTCGGGTGCTCCCGCGCTCGCCGTCCGGCTCGCTCATGACATCCGCAGCAAGGACAAGGGAATCTGACTCGATCTGTCACTTCGTGGCTTGCTCAGATGTTCCGGCCTGCGTACTCGTGTGAGCGCTGGCATTGCTGAACAGGTTGCTCTAAAGATTGCATCCTTCATGTCGCAGCGTTGCAAAGTAGACATTTCACGCGCATTGATTCAGCCTGACACCTTGACCAACTGAGTGCCATGGGAAAGAGTGGGTGATGTCTTCCAAACTTCAATAGCCAAGTGATCTCTGCTGAAGCCCGGGACAGGGACGTGCAGGAAAACAAAACACAAAACACAAAGAGCTATATCCCGACTTGCATCATTTTCTCTCTCTCTCTCTCTCCCTCTCTTCGACACCGCGCGCACTGTTGTCCGGAGAACTGTTCGTGAATCGGTGGGCCACTTAGGGGGCCACGTGGCTGCAGAGGCTTGACGGGACACCAAGTCAACTACAAGTCGTCGGAAAAATCAAATCCAGAATCCCGGCAGACCCTTTTTTGTCAACTCGGGGTATTGGACTCAGGTCTCGTGCCAAGGGCCAGATCTTCTGGCCTCTGGAGTAAGCAAGAGCAGAGCAACCTCAAGAAGGCCAGCCTCACCCACGGCTGACCTTCCAAGGCCAACATGAACCTCTTCTTGACCACCTTAAACGGAAGGAAGCGCCACCACAACACCTGCCTGAGTGGCGCTGCAACCCTCAAACAAGCGAGGCAAATGGTGTCTTCGCGAGCGAAATCGATTCCACCACCCGCCCATTCCCTGGCGTTGCTGTCAGGCTGTTCTCATGTGTGACAAAATGGTGCCGTGCGAGTTGCTAAACAACATCCACCAGAGTTGGAACAACGCAGGAGGGATGACAGAATCGCTCACATTGCTGCTTTCCGCCAGCTCGGGTGGTCCTACTGTGGATGGACGAAATCCTGCACCACTTTGAAAGTATTGGAAACCATTGTTTGTTGGTATTTACAGGGGAATCATCATTCCAGGGTTTCTTAAGTGGTGCAGGATTTCGTCCATCCACAGTTCAAGTTCTATCAGCCACCGCCAGGTGAATTCGCACAGAATCAGCTCATTTCCGGGCCTTCGCAGACTTCGGCCTGTTGCTTTGCACAGCTACAAGAATGTGCCGCTACAACTCCATGTCGGATGTGACTTGGATGGACAAAATCCATTTCGCACCAGAAAACGAAACCATGGTTGAAACCATAACAATTGTTGGAAATTACAGTCCATCCACGGTATGTCAGGCAAAAGATCCGGGTTTTGGGTCACAAAACCAGCTACCCGCCTCCGGCCCGTCCGCGGCGCCTCCAACGAAAGGCTCCCAACACCCCAACAAGCTGGGACCCAGAAAGTCGCATGTGTGGGATTGATCAAAAGGTCCGATATGCATGGGATGACCATTGGGGGAAGCCACTAAGATTATCTTTAGCCATGGTCATTTGGGGGCCTAGAATATTGATCAACCCCCAAGAATTGAGGAAGATCCTTTTGCACAGCCCCTTTGAAGGCTATGTCCGTCAAGTGCGTTGTGTTGGGTCTGAAATAGGGCGGCAGCTTGCAGGGCGCATTGGGGTCCCGGGAGCCTGTGGATGTCGGTAGGAAAACACTCTTGAGCCGGTTGAGATTAACAACGCCACACCCGGGCAGATCGGCTGGAATAATTTCTCCTCCCATCAACAGGGCCAGGACAAAACAAAAGTTCTCAAGGACAAGGCTCCAACCTGTAGTCTCTTCTAACATAGGCCAGAGCGTCAGATTCTCTTCTGCAATCCAATGTTTGAATGACGGGAGGATCCATCCTGTATGGCATCATAGAATCATCCACTGTCGCAAGAGTTACGACAACACGAGCCCCTCCAGGCACCCCCTGCTTGGCCAGCAAAAGCCGAACTACTCCCATGGATGTTGGATATGTGACATGCGGATTTTATCGTTGATTCGGGGTGCCAGCTTGGGTCAATCACAGTTACAAGCTCGCCAGCTGCGAGTACTCCTTTTCCACGCTTCAAGCCGATGCATTGGGGAACACTCTGGCTGGCAAACAAGTTCCATGGTGTTCCAAGCCATCTGCCTAGAAATTCTGCCAGTAACTTGATGGTTGTACCCTATGTCATTCTCTTGAAACCAATCCAAGCATGATTCACTCCCATCGGCCATATGGACAAGAAATCGCCTCCCGACTCCCCCCCAGCCTTGCGGGACGCCGGTTTCTGGGCCGAACGAACCCGAGCGAGTGCTTCGCTTGGGATTTACATGAACGAAGCGTGAGATTGGACACCAGCTTCGGCCGGAAACCAAGACCACCCCCAAACCCTAAACCAGGCTGCATGAGGCGGAATGCATTGCCTTCAATTTTTGGGCACACCTCCTCCATTCGAGTTTTGCCGGTGAGGGGCAAAAAACACAGAGCCACCATTGCCAAAGGCGCGAATGGGAAACTACCAAAAATGCAACTGGGCTGATAGCCGCAACTCCCGGAAGGCAGGCACCCTCGCTCATGAAGGCCACATGCCAACCATGGCAAGTTGCACCTCCAAACTGTCCACTCCATCCAAAACTGACGAATCAAACCGAGGTCAAAGTCCAACGCCAGGCCACATGAATGCCCCGTCCGCGCCTTTGCTGGCTTGCGCGGGCTGGGGCCCCCAAGATCTGGCGCAGCGCCATTCTCTCGCCATCCCCAGTGCTTTTTGTTTCGCTTGGTCAGCATTGACACCCCAAAGTATCACGGGCAAAGTGAAACTTTGTTGCGGAACACCTTCGACCTGGCTTTCGCTGCTCTTCCTGCAAGAATCATAGGCGACATCTCTGGTTTGGAGTGTTACACTCAAAACATGTTTGGAGACCTTGCTTGAATGTGCTGGAGATACAAGCCAATGGCTTCCCAAGGTTGCTGCATCCTTCAGGAAACCAAACTCGATCCGTTTACTCTGCCTCACAGAAATGAGACATGTCTGGCTTCGGCACACTTGGACAGGAAAGCTTGGCGAGCTTATTTGCCATTTGCCCCAGCCTGGTAACCCCCTTAACTAGTGGCCTTTCGAGTGGCGCGGCCTCCGCCCCGCAACCCATCCAGCCACTGCGCTTTTTCCCCCCCCAAGACTTGAGGGAATACCCACCGGACCCCCCCCCCTCGACCCCCTGTTGTACTTGTGACACCTAAGCGCTCTTTTTGGCTGGGGAGGGAAGTGTCATCTTCCAGGGGTGCAGGTATAACGCCCGGCCTTTGTGGAGGCTCAACACCTGGCAATCAGGACGGCTCGCTCAACTCCAGAAGGATCGAGACATGGCCAGTGGCTGTGGCTGTCAAAACCATTTTGGGATCCCATTTCGGGGCAGGTGCACCACCCATTGCTGTCTGTTTTAGTGGTTGGATTGATTGATGTTCACTGGGGTCACGATTTGGATTTTGACCCATGGTCCGTCGGGTTGCGACAGCAGTGAAATGACGTAAGCAATAAAAACAAACAGAGAGGACACGCAGACTCGGCACGGAAGCGAGAAACCTTGTGGTTCTATTGAACACTACAAGTAGTGTTCTATCCCTAGCTTTCATTCCGATGAGCCGAAAGTTTGCATGATCTTTTGGATGGGCTTCTTCTTGGCTTCCCTTTACAATCGCGAAGTGGGGCTCCTCTAGTTTGACAAACCTCCAATTGCATGTGTCTTCTCTTGCAGGACCCCCCTTTTTGCTTGCTAAGCGGAAGCCTGAAAGAGAAACAACAACCCATGTTGGGCTTCCCGAGCGAAAACACTGACAACCATCCCCCTGACTAAAGGCGACAAAGCCACATGGGTATGGGTCAAAATTTACGCAGGTTTTAGTCCTTGGTTCCATATACCAGGGCAACCCATTTTGGGTACCCATTGACCCACGGCATCAATCTTTCTGGGCCCGGGGAGCCGTTTTTCGGGATTCTCCCGATCCCTGCGACCCACCTGCGACTCAATCGGAGAGCCAAGCCTCACGGCGCAGCTTCTGCGCGGCGCGTCGGGCGGCTTTCAAAGTCTCCGGCATGGGCTCGAAGTCCTCTCCGCCCAAAGCGAGGCGCCAAAAGCGTCGAGTTTGGGATGGGATTTGTGTGTTCAAGGGAATCCCAGCTTATGTAGGGGTCAAAATCAAAGGGGACCAGGCTTTAGTCCAGATTTCCAGGTAGTTTACATCACCCAGAAAGCTCGACCCCTTTGCCAACTTGTTGCTGAGTCAGACTTGGGAAGAACAACAACGCGCCCTCCGACACGGTGTCAAACACAAAAACGGCCAGAACGGCCAGGCGACTCCTCTCCGGTGGCATTCGCCTTTTCCCGGCCACGCTTCAGGAACAGCATCTCCTCGACTGGAAATTCAGCAAGGCCCCGGTGGGTTCCATGCAGAAGCTGCTACTGCGGTCCTACTGCAGTCGTTGCTAGAAATCAAGCACTGATGCTGGAACGCTTCAAGCAAGTGTGATTGCTGAGAAAGGAGGGAGGCATGAGTTGCACATTGCCGATTGCTGGCTCCCTGCCGTCACCGAACCGAACAAAAGCTTTGCTTCATGTCCTTCTGGTGCACCCGCTGCGCCTTGGCATATTCATCCTGGCACATGCACCACAGGTGTTTTTGGAGGGTACCGCACCCAGGATGATGCTTGTTGCTTCTGATCTATAACTTTTGCAAATGGTCTTTGTTTGGCGCCAAGGAAATCACGGACCCACATCCAGCACTGCACAAGACCAATGCTCTGGCATGAACTCCGCTGAGTCGTCGGATTCTGCTGCACAAAGGAGGTCCAGGCACTTCGAGCTTGCCTTGTGAGTGCATCTTCCTCATGTTCCGCGTGTCCTTTTTGTCGAACAAGATTTTGCTTCACTCTCACCAGAACGTCAGAATATTCACAAATCCCGCTGGATTCAAGAGTGTCTGGACAGCTTGAGACGTGCCAGACAAAACAGGGGAACCTCTCGCATCCCCCAAGTGCCAATCGCTCAGACAGCCATCGCTCTCGCCAAAGCCATTTACAACCTGTACCCAAGAGTCTCTGCTGTCCGATGTCCCGCGTGATATCAAGAATTCAAACCAGGGAAGTCATCCGGCCACTTGTTCTGGATCTTCCCATGTCCAGCCCAAGTCCACTAGGTCCTCCAGTAGAGAGGTTAGAATAAGGGTACCAACTTTTTTCCTGTAGTCTATGTTAGCAGGGGAACCCTCCCTGCCAAAAAAGGGGTGAGAAAGGGCACCCAGCTGGGGGACCTAGACTACGAAAACCAAGAAAGCTCAGGTGCAAGCTCGATTTTTGTTGCTTCTAGGGCCTTCCAATTCCATCCTTAGGGATCCGAATCTTTCTAGACCTCCGGAATCCCAGAAGCCCCACTGGGCCGGAGGTCCTTGCCCATGGCTTCCTGCAGCAGATGCGCCCGCTTCCGCGGAGGCACCACTGGCACAGCCTGGCGGACGAAAAAAAAAAGAACACGGGGCCGTGGCTCAGCAACTGCCCAAAATGGAACACGAGGAAAAGGGGGAAAAAAAAAAAAAACGGTAGGCTAAGCCTGTTGTCCCTTCTAGAAAACGGTTTGGGTGCGGCTTTTGTGGATCCACCCCTGTACCCCTGTAGGAGATTAAAAGAGTACTACAAGAGGACTAAAAAAGAACCTACACAGGGAAGAACAGGCGAAATCTACAAAAAGCGCGTCCGAGCCCTTTTCTGGATCCCTGGCCCCCTAGCTTTTACATTTTGAGCCACACACATGGGCAAAATGCGTGCAAGCGGAAGCTCGAATTCGGCCTTTCCCTTGCTTGATCATGCCTAGTCGTTCATTTTGCTGGCCGTGCATTCAGGTTTGCGACAGTGGCGGGGCGGTGCCAGTGGCAGTCGGGTGGCAGTTGTAGTGGCACTGCCAGGTCCATTTTTTTGACCACCCCAAAGTGGACGGAAACCCAGGGGTTGCTTTCCCCCAAGAGGCCGAAACCCCTGGGCTTAAGTCCACTTAGTCAAAGAAGGGAACCCTGGCGCGGCACTGCTTCTGTTGCTACTTCTGTTGCTGCTTCTGTGGGCTTTTGAGCTACATCCAGTTGAACCTCTGTTGTTGCTGCCTTATTTGAACAACTGTTGGCTAGCTAGCTCGATCTGTTGGGTATAACTTCATTTGCTCTGCGCATTTGGTTTACTGGAAGGTTGCTGCAAACGTGATGCGCTGCACGGCTGCTGCTTGCACACCTGTCGGTTGGTGCTAAGTGAGTGATTGTTGTTAATCAAATACTTGTTGCAACATGCGCTGCATGTCCCATCTGCGGTTGCTCACCTCTTCTTGCCGCTGAACTCTCGGCTGCAACAAGTCATTGCCTGCTGTGTTCGTGGCAGTTGCTTGCTCTTGCGCTAGCAGCCTGCTACCGAAGGATGGTGCATGCGCACCAGCAGCAAGCCAAGGTCGAACCGGACCTACCGAAAAACCTGGAAAGTGGCATGATAGTCGTCCTTTGATTGTGACTCCCTCTGTCTGCAAGGCCGCAAGGCCGACTGCCATGAAAGTCAAAGATTCCTATGGCGGAAGCTCAAGGCAACTTCTCTGGAATAACCAGGATTTTGTCACAGCTAGGTTTCTGTCTGCTGGCAACTGGTGGCAGCATGGAGCCTTGACGTTCTTTTGCCTGAGTTACAAACCAAACATGAAGCACTGTCAGGACATGCCACCTGTTGAATGGAACAGCCTCAAGCCCAAGGCATTCCACCCCAATCCATAAATGAGAACTGGCCGAGACCCCGTAAGCAAAACACCCAAAAAAACAGGCAGCCCGCGCCTGGTCTAGCTTCCCAAAACCCGGTCGCTCTGGCGCGAGCGTCTCGGAAACCTCAATGCGGCAATTTAAAAGAAACTATGGCGAGGATTGGAACTCAACAGCCCCTTGGGATCGCTTTCCTGAAGGGGCCTCACTTGGTGGGCTCCCGGGCCTTAACATCAGGCAACTCATTCTGCAACAAGCAGATTTCTCACAGTCACTGCACAAGGCAAAGGAATGCCTTTGACTGCAAAAAAGGACGGCTAGCATGCCCATTTGGCCATGGCTCAAAACCAATGGTACCATTTTGGGATAGGTGCACCACCCGTTGTAGTCTATTTTAGTTGAGATTGGGATGTTCACTGGAAGTACGGGGTTTTGACCCATGGCCATTTCTACGTTTAAGATGATCTTCATCCGCCAGAGCTTCTGAGTTCACCAAATCCGTGTGGACTGGTGGCAAGCGAGCCTGAACCTTCGTTGCTCTTGCTGGGCCTGCAAAGCCCAAGATCTTCCTGAACCTTGCAAACACGGGACCTTCAAGCCAGAGGGGGCTTGAACACACATGCAGCAATGCACATGCCCACGAAGGATGCTCCAACGCGACTGACCCCGCCTATTCCACCCCCCACCAACCCCACCCTGCCATTCGCTCGGGGCCCCAGCCGTGCGCTTCTTTGCGCCCAGGCCCAAAGACACGCCCTCGCTGGGCACCTGGCGAAAGCCGCATGGTGCGCTGCGGCTTCATGTGCGAGCGAGAAACCGGCAGCGGGTCCGAGAAGAACATTGGATGAAACAAAGCCGGCTGAAACTGGTGGCAGTTGGGTCAAAGGTCCAATTGTGAGGACTTCTGCCCTCCGAAACCAGCACTCGTTGCGCACCCCTCCGCCGGCACCAAGGAGTCGAGAAAACTCCAGGACTTGCACCTGGCCCGATGGCTTGGTTCAGCTTGGTGGTAGGAAATGAGAAATGGAATGAACCGGTTTTCGGGATTCCCTTGTGAAGGAAATTCCAATTCTCCTTCCCTGCTGAGCATCAGCAAGTCAGATGGGTTTCACATTTACCCTCAAACCACAAATCAGGTGGAAGCTAACAAATTCCTCCCGAGAGCGTAGAAAAGCAAACTCCATCAAACATGTGTGTGTGTGGCAACAGGTAGCTACTTGACCGCTGTGTGGACACAGAGAGAGAGAGAGAGAGAGAGAGACAGAGAGAGACCCGCGCGGGCCCGGGACGGGGAGGTGGCGCGAAGTGCCAAGGTCTGTGTTTTAGAGTATCTTCGTCCGAATGGAAGCACATGATGATTTTCTCTCGTTCCCATGAATCTATTCATCCTTGTCTCTGGGCAACTGGTCTTTGACCGATGCATCTGACAAAGTCTGGGAGCCCCGAGCTCTCTCCTGGAAGTGCACCACACCTAACGTGGGCCGTCGCTCTCTTTGTGCCAAGCGGAAAAAAGCGTTATGCGGAACATGAGAAAGGGCCGGCACGCGAAGTGCAAATCGAAACAAGACTTGCTCAACTGGCAAAAAAGAAGGCAACAGCGGGCCTCGCACTTGGAGATAGGCAGGGCACAAAAAGCGAGGGCCTAGCGGCAGGCCTGCCAAGAAAGACAGACTGAGCTGAGCAATACCACCATTTGATACAAAAGCCAAGAAGGACAGCGAGGACCAGGCCGAAAAAAGACACCCTTGGTTCAACATCAGCTGTGTTCATTCAGCCACAATAGTTGCTGTTAAGCAGGCACAGGCAGCCCGGTATGCTTAGCCATGTGCAGATCTCATGTTGAGCAGCCTGTGCAATCTCCATCTCACAGGATACAGGTGCCAAAGGAGTCAAGGTTTCATCCTGTGGATCCACTCCAGGAATGAGGCCAATCAAAGCAGGGTTTCCGCCAGCAATGAAACCAGATGCTGCCTTGATACATGGTTGCCCTACCTCCGCAACTGTCATTGGAGTACTTATTACACCCCCTGGTTTGCGCAGGTGTCAGGGGCGGAGCCACTGCACGACATGTCAACGATCCTGGTCCATGCGTGCCAAGCAACGCACCGAATTCTTGACACCCAAACAAACACAAACACTTAGCAACTCCTCTCGCTCAGGCTACTGATACGCCTGAATACACACGCTACCTACGCACGCACACGCACGAGTGGCCTTTGCGCGAAAAAAGACACTGGTTCACAGAACGTGGCAAGAAATGTCATGACAACTTGTGCAAGGTCTTGCTACGTGTAAGATGGTTGGAACTGTCTCTGCCGATCCAAAGCATGTTTGCCAATGGAACCGCCAGCTCAGCCACTTTCATGGTAAATGGTGTGATTGAAAAAGTCCCTATGATAGAAAGCAAGTATCCCAGGTCAATTCAGCCCAGCTGCCTTGTGGCTTTGCCGCGGGCCGACGCAAAGCACGGCCTCCCAAAGCGAGCGACAAGGCTGACGAACGTCTCTTCGATCGCTTGCATAACCTGTCAGGAACGGCCTCAACCCTTTTGGTACAATCTGAGAACGCCTCCAGACTCTGCTCAATTTGTTGCTTGAGAACACAGGCTCAAAGCAAGTTCAATCACGAAGGACTGTTGAGGCGAGGCTATCCGCCAAGGAACTGATACAATCGGTTTGTTCCCTGGCGATCGCTATTGCTGGACGATGAACGGAGGGACTTGTCATGATGGTGAAAGATCCGCTGGGGCGCAACCCGACTTGGAGGAAACAATTAGAATGCAAGCCAACTCAGCCGTGCACAACCCAAACTGATTTGATGTCATGCATTTGCTGCGTGGATTCCTGGAACCAATTTAGAGAGCTCCAGCCCTTATCACCAAGCATATCAATCCCAACCATGCAGCAATCAACATTCTACAAGCAGCTGCTCAATACATTCCTTCATGACCGTAGCTTGCGAGCCCGAACTTCTACCGCTTGACGCTGCCCTGTGGCAACTGGACCTTGTATCACTTTGGACAGTGCACACGAAAGGATCAACAAGCCACGGCCGCAACAGTGCTTCGGAAATCATTCGACAACGAATTGAGAATCGGAGGATCGTGTACAAATAGAAATATAGAATCCTTATCAGGCATTCACGGTCGTGTTGATCATTGACTGTCCAGCAATTGCCCAATCAATGTTGGTGCCGCATGGAGAGCGCAATGAAGACATATCGATGCTTAAAATCGGAGACCCCCAAAATGGTGGTTTCCTTTTGGTGTTCCTCTAAAGCCACTCCAAAGAGAGGCATAATACTGCCTGGCTAGCAGAGTCGGGTCGGGCTTGCCCCCAAGCTCGCGCCTTTTCGAGGAGAATTCGCTCTAGCTCGGTCTTTCCAGGTCTCTGGTTCTTGAATTGCCCATCCTCCAAGAGAATGTTATGGCTACCATGCGACTCTCTGCGGGCTGGCGGCAGGAAGACGTTAGCTTCTCTTGTGGGGCCACGTTGGCCCGTGAACAGTGCCCGCCGCCCGCGCGAGCTGGCAAAAGGGGGTGGGACGTGTCCTCCCCGGTGAAATCTGCCAAGGCGACCTTCCGCCTTTCGCGAGCGCGAGACCCCTTCTGGGGCTCAAAATTGCGCGTGCCGCGCGGGGTATTCACAGCTGTTTTCTGCCCAAGGCGCAGCTGTTTCTGCCCGAAGCGCTCCCAAAGACAAATCTCTTCGTCTGGGGGTGTTGGACATATCCAAGAATTTGGTGGTGTTCGCTGCACAATGGCGCTGGATCCTCAGTCCGATTGACTGAAACTCCCACCGAATTGATTGGCCGGGGCAGTTTGCGCCCGTCGCGGGAAAAGAAAAGCTGGAGACAGCGCCAGCCACGTCCTTGTCCGCAAAGGTTCAGGTCTCTCCAAGCTCCAACCATCTTGCCGGGCCATGCTGGGCTGATTCTGGGCTATGCTCTGCCCCGAGGAATCGACTGGCATCACAAGGAAAAGTCCCGGAGCAGAAGCTGCACCGACGGGCATGAGCAGAATCGAGCTCAAAGCTCCCCTGAAAAGAGCCATGTGTTTTTCGGGAGCCCTCAGATTGCCTCAAAACCAGAATGAGAAGCAAGCAAGACCTTGTTGAAAAGCGAATAAACAGAGCAAGCAGAATAGCAGGGACCATGTCTTAGCTCCAGCGTTCTCACCCCTCTTGAAGCACCATCCAATACAAAGCAAGGCCTGGGACAAGGTTGGCTCGCTGCACGCTCAGCGCTGCCTCCCTAAGCTCATGCAACGGGGGGCGCCCATGCCCAGTTCTCTGGTCTGACACACGAAAGCTTCTTGAGGCCAAGCCTTCAATCCAGAGCCTCCAGGAGTCTATGGCAAGCCGCTCATGTAAACCCCACAGCATTGCCCTGAAAGCCCTCTTAAAAATGGAGGCCTTAAGCCTGAGGCAGCCATACGGAGACAATTACTGACCCAGGGATCTCATTCCAAGGTCCAGGGATCGCTGAAGCCTTCAGACCAAATAAGCACTGAAGGAAATGCATCGAAAAGGACGCTATGTTGCTGGGCCCAAAAAACGGCAGCCGGCCCTACCACAAGCTTTGAAACTGCAAGGACAAGCAAAAAAATGATGTATGGATTTCACAGGGCGGTGTACGGTCAAGATAGCATCCCCTGAAAAGAGGAAGAAGAAGAACGAAGAAGAAGAACGAAGAAGAAGAAGAAGAAGAAGAAGAGGAATAAGAACGAAGAAGAAGAAGAACAAGAAATGATAATAAAAAAGGAACATTCTAAGAAATTCCACGCAAGGAACAAAAAAATGTAAGGGAAGAGGTCGCCAGCGCGACCGTGCCAGACCGGCGGAACACTGGGCTTTTGAACGGCTTAGGCGCGCTCAGTCCACGTCAGCCACGTCTCCTTCTTTGGGCTTCGCCTCCTCCTCAGGTTTCGCCTCCTGGCTCGAGTCACGCAAGAACCTGCCGGAGCAGAAGCAAAGCAAAAAGCCTAGAGTCCAAAGTGTCCAGAAAAAAAACATATCACTCCTCGCAAACGAGGATCGAGAGACAAAAGAAAACGCGAACAAACTTCGCTGCGCAAATCGAAAAGGCTTAAAAATAATCCAAATGTGCAAATGGGGGTCGTTGTCTAAGGTTGTACCCCCAAAATGGCGCAACAGTCTTGCCGCGGGTGGGCTCAAAATAGGAACCCTTTCGCAGGCGCCATGAAGTCCCCCCCGAATCTATGGGGCCTACAAATAGGAAACCTTGAAACGCAGCACCAACCTGAGTCACTTGAGGAATTGCCTTAAGCAACACCAGGCCGCTTCATTCCCGAGAAACTCTCGAGTGAGGATCCGCTGCTGTGGCAACGCCACGAAAAAACGTACCAGCGATTGAAACATGTTGCTATTGCGGAGTATAGCTCATGTAAAAGGCTGCCTGCTGCAAATCCTGTTTGCAAACGTGACAAGCAGAACCACATGTTGACATTGAAGGCAAGAATTAATAGATTTAACCCTAGTGTCCCGCCTGCGGAATGGCAATCAGGAAAAGATGAAAATATGGCTGTATCGTAATATGTATATGTATGTACCATCTCTACATATATATATACATATATATATATGTATAAGCGTCCTCCACTTCCGAACACAGCTGCATAGGCTGCAGGGGCTCCCTCCGACTTAGACAAGGAACTCTCTCTGTTCAGGCACTGGCGCTCCAACTTCGCTCACTAGAGATCCGTGTGACGTTTTTGCTGCGTCCAGAGTTCTTGTTCTGTGCCCAGTAAAGAACTTGAAAATGATGTTGTAGCCGTTTCTGTCCTCTGCCCCAAAGACGAAAGATTTTGGCCTTGGACCTTGACTTCACTGCCGGTCCGCCAAAACACCAAACACCTCAAAGGTGCTAAAGGATTGATGCTGAAACCCAAGAGAATCAAAAGGAATTTAGCAGCACAAGGGTCAATGGATGTCCCTTCAAAAGTTGCAAGTTCCATTGAAGCTGCCACTTCTGGAGGCGCCAAAGAAGGAAATGGAGGAATCCCTGGAAAGAACCCGAACTAGGTCCTCCAGTAGAGAAGTTAGAACAAGCTGGTACCAGCTTTTTTTCTGTTTCGTCTATTTTAGTAAGGGAACCCTCCCCCAAAAACGGGTACTACTGGGGGACCTAGCAAGAACTGCGCCTCTGCGCAGGGACTTCTTGACCCCCCGGAGTCCCGGGGCCTTCTCCTCCGGCTTAGGCTCCTCCTTTGGCGGCTCTGGCGGCTTCGGCTTCGGCTCCCTGCGCGGAGGTTCCGGGGAAAAAATAAAAGAAACGCCCTCCAAGCCAGAAGGGTGATCAGAGACGGGGTAACCCCAAGCTCAGTCCTCGTAAATGGAAACAAGGACGATTTCACCGGTCCAACTCCTGGTTTGATTTCGACCCATACCCAGATGAATCCCTGTGACCTTGCGGAAAAATAGAAGTGGCTCATAAAACCAATCTAAACCAGTGGAACCTATCTACTTCAAACCAAACTAACCAAAAGAACACCTATGCTCCAATCCATAGAGCTCCTGGTTTGGACGACTTTGCTTTCAAAGGAAATTTCTGGTAGATTCCATGTTAGGGAGGATAAAGGAGAAAATGTGGAAGCAAAGGAACTAGAATAGGAACGAAAAGGACCGAAAAGGAAGAACGGCAATTTTCTTCAACTCGAGTCAAGGTCTTTGCCTCCAGAGTAAGGGTGCTTGCATGGCAATAGTCCGTTCATGATATGTCCAGAGAGCCGCTACAATATCTCTGAAGTTGAGTGCAAACATAACTGCCATAGTAGCAAACAAGTTCATCAGTCGGATTCAATTGGCAAGCAAAACCACGATTCACGAGCACGCGAGCACGCGCCAGAGGAGCAGGAACATGACATAATGGGTGAAACGTAGGTGGGCTCAGAGTCCGAATCCCTTGAAGTCACATCAGCTTCACAAAGCTACCAGGATTCAAGAGGGACAGCGGAAGTTGCGCGTTGGATATGCTCCCTGACTTGATTGACTCTTGAAACTATATGTGAGGCGTGTCATAGCCACCAGGTCAAAGGATGCATTTGCATTCCATCGCAGCCATTCTTTAGAATGAGAACAACCGCTATGGCAAGGGAGACATCATAGAAACCCAAGCACTTCCTCCCCACCCCCCATAGGGATCCCCTGAAAAAAGTTTGGCCAAAGGCCTCGATAACGTGTATTTGGGGGATCCGACAGTGATCCCTAGGGGTTAGCAGGAGAACAGGAACGAGGTATCTGAGCAACAAACCTGATGAGCAAACAGCTGTATCGAACAGCTGCAACTTCAAGTTGCAGGACGGGGGGGGGGGGGTCTTCTTTGACAGGTGCTCCCCGCGAAACTCCTCCTCAACGTGTCCAGTTCACGTCTCCAAGAACTCGAAAAGCCCTCCCGAGCCTCAGGATCTCGTCCGCAAACTTGGCGACTTCCTTGTTCTTCTTCTCCAGATCTG